AATATATTTTTTTAATTACTTTTATTATTAAAACCCATTTTTTTCATTATTAGAAAGTAATGAAGTGAGTGCAAAAAAGGTGCAGTTGTTAAGAAAACTTTTCGGAAGTGAAACTAACCTGACGAACCGTGATTTAGAAAAGATGATAGATCAATAAGTCCATCTGAAATTAGGGGACAAATTGCGTGAAATCAGTGAAGATGAACAAAACAAAATATGAGAGAGAGGCATAAAGGAAAGCAATGAAATAGAACATATACATATACTACAGTGTGTGCGAGTATGTGGGAATATTTAGCGGTGTTGGTGAGTACATACATACATACATACAATATATATAAGCAACATAGTGTTTGAAATTTGAAGCTCATTGTTCATAAACAATTACATTTTGAAACAAAATATGCTATAACATCAACACATACATATACTATATATTTAGTTGCATAATAATTTCTTAATACTCTTTTGTGCACTTCTTTGCCTTTTATTRGATAATCTCCGCTCAGTTATGTGTAAAAGAGTTAATGATTCCGGGAAGCATAMACATTTTTACGCCTCGCAATTTTTCAAACGAAACTGCGCGTGTGTGTGTATAAATGTGAGGGTATGTGTGCAGAAACCAAGGTAACGTCAGGTGAATGATATAAGCTGGTATAAGCTGGTATATACGTATGAAATCTGTTTATGTAAATGTCTACTTGGAGTTAGCATCGCATATACACGTGTCAGATGCCCATCTACAGCATACACGCAATCCCACACAGACTCCTACCTAACGGCCATTGAGTTTTGCCAGATAAGCATATTTTCACTCACACCCATACWACTTTGCGATAAGATGTAAGCACTCGAGTACAAAAGTGTTTGCAGGCCTTTTCCTTGCACGAACGAATACTCGCAAGAATCATTCACGCATTTCTTAGTTGGAAGTGTGCAATCTTGGCTTTGATTCCTCAATAGATAAGCGCCTTGTGCTACATAATAATATAACGGTTATGAAAGCATATCAAGTGTTAAGTGCGAATATTTCTTCAGTTCATGTTGCGAAAGCCGCTGAAGAGTGAGTGGAGTGCTTGGAAGGTGTGAAAAGCAGGTTTTATGGTGTAATAAAGAAAAAGTAAATGAATGCAAGAAAACACGAAAAAGTTGGACCCCACTAATAATTTTACATCCTACTAATGAAAGCGTCTAGCTAGAGTGTTTTGAAATTTAAAATCGCAAATCATAAGAGTGCTCTTGGCTACGCAGTTGAAGCCAAGTGGGGAAGTGTGAGAATTAGGCAAGCTTTTTTCCTTGAGAKGCTCAGTTTTAAGTGAACAATAATGAAGATCTTCGCATATAGTTTGGTCACATATAAATTAATTCGGATACTGGCATCTAAAACGGCAGCTATACACTTTTATTGGTATGAAACTTAAAGGCGTCACCTAAAATTTTTGTGCGAGGCTTTAGATCGTAAACAACTAATAGTATAGCAAGTATTTTTTATATCACTCAGCAATTTTAATCGTAAAAGCTGTTATAAAAAATTATCTTGAACCACGTAACTTTTTCGGGACCGAGAGAATTTAAACCTTGAAATTGAACAGCTTTTAGACACAATAAAATATGAGAAACACGAAGAGCAGTTCCTCGGTAAAGTTAGCGTGCTGAGGTGTACAAAATAATATGTTAAAGAGAATAGATTTCTGTTCAAAATCACCTTTGCTGCATTAAAATCCAAACTTATATAATTTCCATAAGCATTTTTCCTTCTTTATCCTTTCATTTATTATTATTATTATTTTTTTTTTTGAAACCATTTAAATAAACTTTTCATATTTTCGATTCTTATTTCATGTTAAAAAATAATACATAGTCATTGTAAGACGTTAATTGCACCGTATTTTTGTTGTTATAATGTTAATTTTCCTGCCTCGTATTGGTATTAAGTTCCAAGAGCATAGTCCTCAAGTCTTTGCTCAATTGCAGTGTCAGCATTGAAGAGACAGCAACAATTAGGTTGACCCAATTACGTCGCGCCAGAAATAAAGCACACACTCGTATACTGTGCTACAGTGTTGAGCAAAAAAGAAGTGGAAACATCAAATGTCGTAATTTTTTTATTTCTAATTTTGAGAGGTATGCGAGTCTGCTTCAGAAGCAAGCCCATTTTTAAGAATTAAAAAAAAAATATATCAACTCTTTTAAAATTGGAAGCGTAAACGGGCGTAATTCCGACTTTCTACGTGGATGAAAAAAAAAACAAAAAAAAAGGAACATTGACTTGACTTGCGGTCGAATTTATTAAAGGTAGATTCACATTTTTGTGATTACATTAATCTCGAGTTTAGACCGCATATCCTTACGCTTTCTCTGAGAAAGTAGGTTTCAAATTACGCTGAAAGAGGGTGGATGGCACAGGGCACGCGACCCACTAGCGGTATATTTAATGTCTACACGGATGGATCATAATTGACTGATGGTGTTGGTATCTATGGTGCTGAGTTAAACCTCAGGCGAACCTTCAGGCTGCTGAGGTATCACAGTATCTTCCACGGCGAAGTTTTTGGAGTCAGCTATCCTGAYTAACAGCGAAGAAATTGGCATAATGTATGTGCGTCAAATACGTCGAAAGTCGAGCAACAATTAAAGCAACAATCTAGCTTATCCATGCGTCGGTGAATGTCGTTAAGAGCAGGGAGGTTGTAGATATAGTACCTACTTTAATACTAGGTTCCAGGTTCCATTCGCCTAACTACCAAACCAGTTCATGAAATAAGTCGTTAAAGACGATACACAACGAATTTTCCCCAAGGGCTGACAGACGGATTAGAGTGACGTGGAACGTTCTAAAGCAGGCAAGATCGCCAAAATCATGGGCGAGAGAACGGAAGGAAAACTCGCATGCTTTTTACTCACAGGGTATGGAGAAGACTTCATAATGGTTGTTGGCACGACTATATGGCATCACATGCGAATTGGATGGGCATTATTCATGATAACACATATAGAAAGTGCAGGGAAGTAGGCATGAGAGAGAGCACATTCTTTGCCTATGTCTGACCTAATGTAGAACTGGGCTTAGATAAGAACTAGATATCAAACCTCTATTGAACTTCGCAAAAAGCGTTGATGTTCTACAGTAAACTGTAGCTCGTATAAATAATAAATCTTCTTCCGGCAATGGCAGAAACCTGTAGGTGTATATGTATATGGCATGACAGCCAGTTTAACCCAACGTAGCTCGCGTTTAGTGAATACTTAAACTTATGTTTCGCTCCATAGTGTATATTCCTAAACCATGTAACTGCAAATGAAACAGTGGTGAACGAGCACAGTGTCAACTTGGCAAAGAACAAGCGAGGCGGYCATTATGCCACAGAAGACGCAGTCAAATGACAGCGGCGAAGTGAGTGAAGTGTGTGGGCAAATCATTGGACGGCGCTTCTTTTCAATGAATCTCTGACAAGTGATCACACGCAAGCGATAAGTTTGTGTGTGCGAGTGTGAAGAGACTGAAATTGTATTGCTACAAACGGCATTTGCACGCTACGCACACAGACACGCACGCGGCCGAACTGTGATACCGGCAATTGAGGACCTTCAAGKGGCTGCGTAAGCGCTTGTGTTTGAATGAATGTGTTGGAGTATATGCACATATAACGGTGAATGTTGCAATCTCTAACAATTTTTCGCATTTGACAGCGACGTCATCATCAGCATACACGAAGGATATAGCAGCTAYATATTTATGTGTGTGTGTGTGTRGTGGCGTCAATGCCGCCCCAGTTGTTGCACRCGCAGCAGTCAAGTGCGCTTTTACTCGTCGAGTATTTAGTACAGTTATTTATTTATGCCAAAGAAAAAGTGGCACAAACGCTGTCAACTCTGCGCTTCTTATCCTGGTTTCTTATCTCTTTCATTTCGATTTCAGGGCAGCTTCGCGACAGATGCATTTGCCACTAATAAGTTTTGCTGGCAGCAAGATTGCTCCACATGCAATCACAAGTGCAAGTGCGTGTGTGCGCATATGTGGTGTGTGTGTGTGTGTGTCAGGGCCATAAACAGTGAATACTGCGACACATTGCCACACATATGTATGTACATGAATGTGTGTATATGCACAGTTATAAGGTTGTAAAGCTGCTGTGGACACAACTGCTGCGATTGAGCCAATGCCACGCCGTGACAGCCAGCGAAAATGTCAACATAAATTAAGCAAAAAATACTTAATGATAAATGCTCATTTGTCATTATTGACACGGCTGATTTTAATTGGAAGCTTACCGTGGCCAATTACTATCAACTTTTTGAGAGAAAATGATTTATTCGAAAATGGCGCTGAAACACGGCAAAAGAAGTCAGTTTTTTCCATAAGCWTGATGCACGCTTGAAAGAAATAAATATATAAATGGTAAATTATGTTTGAACATTCTTAAATGAATATGTGTCTTTTGACAGCTTGAAGTTGACTAATGATAKCATTTTTGACAGCGGCAGTAGTTAAATTCGCTACGCCACCGAACAGCGCAATGCAGTCGAAAGCTATCTCGGCAATCTCGACCACAGCGCAAGCAACAACAACAGCTGACAGCTACTACTTCGTGAATATCTGCTGGCCAAAAATCGTTTGCTCGCTTACAAGGGGCTATTCTAGGCACGAAAGGTTAGGAARAAATGCACACGCTTGTATTGGAGAGTAAAACTTATAGCGAAGGTCAGAGACAACRGCAGAAATCTGTGAGTTTGAATTTTTTTTATATTTTTCTTAAAATATGTGGCGTCTTGTTATCCTGGAAATATAACTCTAAGTCACTTTGGAACGATTTTAAATTATAAAAAAAAAAAAATACTGCTGAATTGTTTTAATACATTTTTTCTTGTATTTATGCAATTGCGATTTATCGCTGAAGTATGAGTTTTAGGCTGTGTGTATTTTGGTATCGAAAGCATTACGTAGATAATAATTTCCACAAAATGAAAACATTAATTTTTTTGTTAATACAAAAAACTAAAAAAAAAAAAAAACGAATTAGAATGAGAAAATTGTATCCACATATAGGCGCAATGTATAACCTATTCTGATTTAAATAACTATAATTATTGTAAATTGTTTTTGAGTCTGATAGTAAGCTATATTGTAACAAAATAGCCATAAATATAATTTCTAAAGAGAAT